TCTAAGAAGAACTTGTTTTATGCAACTCATAAAAGTGTGGGTTTCATTTGAGCATCGGACAAATGTTTCATTAACACAGCTGACTGCGGTCCAGCAGATCTCCCTGCCACACAACAGATGGTCTATAATTTAACAGCGTGATATTCTCTGGATGAAACTCAGTCCTCAAATGTGCACCATACTATTCATGTGTGGAGATTCACACTCATACTATGACAAAGTCATCCATTTATTTATACAGACACCCATTCCAACAGACACATGCAGACCTTTTATTGCTTCATGGCCTGGGTGTCCAGTTGTTTCCACTGACTGATGACTGATCTCTCTGAGATGCTGCCAAGTTGTTTTACAGCCACCACAGAATGTTATAGTAGCAATGAACTGTCGCCACACAGACACATGTCCAGTGTCTTGTGGTGCTGGCACGGTTTGAATAAACATGGACTTTTCACTGTCATGGATGGCATGTTCAGTGCTATTACTTATGCTGTTGGATAAATATAGGTGCTCAACTTAACAGCTTTCCGGATATGTATGAAAGTAGTTAAAGTATTTTATGTTAAAGGAAAAAAATAGCTCTGCATTTAAATTGAAAAGGCATCAAAAAGCTAATAAAAGGCTTATACCATGAAAAAGATCAACACTTTATTGGTCATTCAAAACTATCTACTTAATTTCTTTAATTTACTCTAATTTATGGGGGGAAAAAAAGAATGCGAAAACACTTTAGGACAAGACAGAAAATGATAAGTGTTGAGAAAATAACATTGACTTATGAGTCATTCAAAACTATCCATTTAATTCCTAGAATTTACTCTAATTTAAAAACAGAATACGGAAACAGTATCTTCACAATTTCCCAAAAGTTTTTGTAAGTTTGTCCAAAGTTAATGTCAGGTGTAGGCATCAGTGGCAGTACTTTCACTGGGACTATATATTATATGGATACCTACCTATAAATATAGGTTTTCCCCAACAACGTAATGAACTGGGAAAAAAACTGCATAGAAGAACACCCTTGTAACTGCAGAATCTTGCACATTGATAGTAAGTCTGATTTGATATCTTGCACTGCTCTTCATGAAACTGTTTTCATTTTTTTGCTACTTAAATACAAATGCATAAAATATGTCAAAAATAGACGTCAAAGAATAAATAAGTGAATTTTCACATTTCTTTTATGTTTCACATTCAGAAAAACAATTTAAGAAATATCAGATATAAATGTAGAGGAAGGATATTTTTCTTATTTTTAATTGAGAAATTTAATAGAAAAATTCTAGTGAACCAGTAAGCTAGTTAGATTTACTGGGGGGGCAGGCATGGTGATCTAAAAGCACCATAGTGATTACCACTGTTTTCACAGCATGCAATAAAAATGACTATAGCTGAGAAAAATATTTTAAGCAATGTAAAACTTTCATTATTTTGTAACTGGTGTGTTTTTTGTGCAGGACACATGTCAGTGTAAAACAATTATCTTTATATCTACCAGTTTCTCACTGTCCATTGTAATGGCAACTATCATTTCCATTACAAACGCAAACATTTTAAAATGTATGCCGCCATCTAGTGGTAAATAATGAAAACGGCTGTTTCGAGTTTAAAAAAAAAAGAAGAAGAAGAAGAAATGAAGGTGGAAAATTATTTTATTATCAAAATATTCCAGGCTTCACAACATCCTTGCTCAAATATTTCTGCAGTAAACAGATTCCGGTTGGTGAAGTCAAATGAAAATGACTTAATCATTATCAATCACTAGTAACTGATACATTTTGTCAGATGAAAAACACACCAAAGGTTCTCAAAACCTAGGAGCCCTTAAGACTCAGCACATGCAAAATATTCTGCAGTTTTATTGGATGTATGTATTATACTGCTGTCTTGGCCAGATCACTTTTGATTTGTGATCTGGCTTTTTATTTCAAATTATTGAAACAATTACACATATAATTATACATTATATAATCTTCCGAGAAACACAATTTTAGGCTTCAATAAGCTTTAAACCATAATCATCAAAATTAACAGAAATAAGCACATCAAATGTGTCATTCTGTGTGACAAATCTGGATTGAATCACTGAAAAAAAATTTTTTTTAACGACATTCTGATTCACTGAGGTGTGACAGCAGGTGGTCTAAAAGACTTCGGTTGTTTAAGGCAGTGGGATGGCAGTAAAGTTATTGTTTTATGTAGACTTGTGTACTGCTCATCCATACGAATGAGCAAGGAGTCGAGAGAGTGAAGAGGTGTGGTTCAGAGTTTATAATAAACTTTATTATATAATTTCATTGTGAGCATACCCATCAAACAAAAGAGAAAATAGACAAGTGTTTGCAAAATATTTAATTGTGCAATATCAATTGCTTAGCTTCTACAGAATTTTATTCTTCAGGACAAAACTATCGATGTTTTCCCTTGCACCTTTATTTTAGAATTGGTGGCACATTTTAGAAAAGTCCAGCAATTGAAAGTTTAATGACTATAAAAAAATAAAACCTTAAATGGATTTTATTTAATTAAACCAATCAAAGTCAGTGGTTTTGTGTTTATTTACATATTTTCAGATGTACAGAAAACCATAATACAAATGCACTTTAATCCCATATACATTTCTGAACTATCAGGTGAAATCACAGAGCAAATTTCTTGCATCAGTTGCTCTTACAGTTTTAATTGCACTCTAGTAGCAATATCACAAGTGGTACAGGTTAAATTTTGGAATTTACAATTAAAGCAGATATATTGTTTTAAAAGATTTTGAAAATATTTCATTCCTTTATAAAAGGTGGCATTCTCAATTTCACCAAACTGCAAGTATAATAAGATTAAAGACAGAAGAAAAGTTACATTAAGTGATTGTATTGTTACTGCCTAGTTCACTTGTCTTTAAAATTATTTACTTAAATCATTCAGGAAAAGGCGACATTAAATCACCAAATTTCTTCAAGAGACCATCACCAATTGTTATCATTTGTTCAGATATTCTGTATGCATATTTAATACAAGGATATCATATCTTACTCTTCAAAGTGTCGTTCCATAAAACCTTCTATTGACATTCAAAATAAATACTTTTACATACTGTAACACACTTTCTTTAATGTATTTAATTTATTTGGCAGAATTGTAGGACCATGGATATTTAAAGCAGGTTCTAAGACACAGACAATGTAAGAAGTGTAAATTAATAAAATAGAAGCAAAACCATTTCACTAAAATGACTACTTTTTCTAACAGAGATTTGCTTACCTTTCATTATATGATCAAATGGGTTAAAAAACCTAAAGCTATGTTCTGGACTAAGTATGATGATGAATCATACATTAAAGATGCATCTGATCTGAGTCTGTCATAAAAAAGATATTTAGTGTTCAAAGAAAGAAGAATGAGCTTCAAGACAAACAAGGCATCTTTTAATAAAAGCTGTGGACACAATATTTCTTATTAAAGAAACATTGTTTAGTTTCTTACTAAAGATACTAAAACACGTTTGCATATTGACAAACACGTTTTAGTTGGATCTAAGCATGAGGAAATAAAGGTTCTTTTGTTGAACTCTATTTTGTGTGACTTTCTCTGCCTTACTGTGTCAAGACAGAATACTTTTTTCTGGCCATGATCCGACCATCTTGTTTTTCCTTTGTTTCATATTTTTCTTACGCTTTTATTGGGTCATTATATGGCCTCATTTGGATAGTGATCAGATTGTATACAATACATGAAGTGTCAAATGCACATGAAACTCATTTTGGAGCATTATTCAACTGAACCTTACAAGCGATATTCAGTAGAATGATGAGGTATTAGAAAAGGCCATTTGCTTTGAAAACTGACTGAAAACAGGAAATCCATAGAAATGCAGAACCATGAATGATAAACTTTCACATGTAGCCTACAGCTCTCATTCTAGTATTATTTTCTTTCACTTCCTTAGTATCACTAGACTTTTTTTCCAATCTTAGCAATCTTCCTCACAGAGACACCTAACACCCCAGGGATATACAAATACAGCAGAATACAACCACTAACACCCACAGATCCACGCACACAGACACATGCGCACACACACACCCCCCCCACACACACACACACACACCGTCTACTGGACATTCAGGGTGCGAGCGGACACTCCATGGTGCCAGTTTCTCAGCTCGTTGTACTTGGGTCCAACCACAAGTCGAGTGGCATTCTTGTTCACTCTGCCATCCAGAACACAGCAGGAAAAGCGAGAAAAAAGTAAGGAGAGAAAAGAGCAACAGAAGAAACATAAAAGAAGAACTTGAATAAATGGAAATAATCATTTTTCAACAAATCTATGAGGAAATGGATTAAAGCCCATGCCAGAAAGAAAGCGCAGTGGCACCAGTTACCAATAGAAGCTGATGATGGTCAAAAAGGATTCAGATGAAAATCTCCACTTTCATTATTGGAATAAAAAAGGCCCAAACACAAATAACAACAAATGTATTATGATTAATGCCACACACCAGCACACAAATGGAAGCAACGGCTTCAGTAATTTATCACAGCTAACCAACAAGAGCATGCAGGGTCAAGAGGTCACGTCACATAACACAACTGCGGCAGAGTCACGATTCTCAACCACACAACAACGAGTTGCATAACATGCAGCACAGCAAGGCTGTCGGATTAACATTTCAACAATACTGATATGCAAATTCATTACAAATAGGTGTAAAATCAATATTGAGCAACATGAAATAAGCGTTAAAAATATCACACGTTGGAATTATTTAAGTTGAAAATCTTCACTCCATGAAGATTTGACAACAGATCAGGTTTAATACCTGCTAACTGGATATAGACATCTGACACTGATTGCACATATTGCGTCACAAAGAGTTGGTATAAGTCTTTTGGTTCTCTTCATATATGAGGATTTTATACTAAACACTCCAATAAGCAAATTGAATGACAACAGAACAACCACAGAAAACAACTAAATTAAAACTCTTTTTAGATGCACTTACTTTGTCTTCTGTGATGCATCAGCTTCTTCGTTTTGAACTAGAAGGAAAATTATTTATTCAAATCAAAATGTACTGTGCAAGTTATTGTAATTTAAGATATTCAGATTTTTTAGTAATAGTAAATTAAACAAAAAATGCATTAAATGGTTAATTTCCATTTCTGCCATACCGTTCTCTGTGCCTGTGATCTGAGCCAGAATCCTGAAAGATCGGGACTGGGTGGTGCCTGTGCGTGGACGCCAATCCTCTGTATCCTCCATTATGCGCTTTCTACTGGCATCAGCGTGAGAAGGCACATGGTAAAAATGGATGTCTGTGTCCACAATATGTTTCCTGGGAATACTGAGAAAAGACAGATGAATGAGGGAACGATCACATCTGAAAGTACCTTTTAAAGCCATTTTATTTTTCCCTGTTTATGGTGGTGGTTACTCCACATTTTTAGAAGTACATATTGTGTTTCATGGAATGAAATAAGTAGTGCTAATTAGAATGTGAAAAAAGCCACACCACACTTTGTTAAATGAACTTGGTGTACTTTTTAAACCAGCATGATACCTTGGAGGTGGATGCAGAGGTTTTCTTGGAAGTCAAGGAGAAGAACAAGGCAATATAGAGTCAAAATAAAGGAAAGGGGCTATAAAAGAGCAGCCTTCATGTCTTTCATGTCTATATATAAAAAAACTGAATAGTGTTAAGACTTACTTTAAAGCATTTTGAGGTCCACTAATGGAGCATCAAAAAAAGGACAAAGCGATAGAAAGTCATTAACTTCTGGGCAAGCATTTGATAGAAATTTAAAACAAAACCATAGAGAAAAAGAAAATGACCTTGTGGAATACAAATAGTACAACAGAAGAGCAGAACATTACGTTCTCTAAATCTGCAATATTTAAGTTTTATTTTCAACCACATGGTGGTGCTTTAAACAGTGTATAAGTCCAAATGGGTAGAATTTCAGTCATCTTTAATCAAATGTTATAAAGATGTGTTGTTTTTCACTTTTGGTGGTGCAAAGCAACCTGGAAATATAACTGTGTTCAGTAAAAATAAATTTTTACTTGGTAGAAAGTGGCTGAAATGCCTGTCACAGTCAGTAAATCAACTCCCAGGAGAAACCAACACGTTGATACACACTGAGTGTGTCTCAATCGAATATCTATAAATACACCCTCTCTTACTATCTTTCCCAGCACACTGAATAGTCTGATTCATGAGTGCCAATAAAACGCATTCTGTTTATAGAAACAGTGATGCGGACACTGAATGCATTACTGTAGGAAGTTTGGTAATGCTGCGAACGTATGCTACCTGCTAAAGATTCACATTCTGTTTGATGAAGTGCAGATTCTACAGAAAGTACACATTCATTTTGATAAAGAATTATTTTTGTGCAACTACTACCTGCTAAAATATATTGTAATTGAAAATGCTGCACTCCTGTGAAATAAAATGTGTATTTGTGATTCAGTTTTGTGTCGATTTTAAAAATCCGCTCATAATTACAAGAGCAAAATGCAATATAATGTCTTTTTTTTTCCCAGAAACTGCCTGAATGGTGACTATTTCAACTAGCTAATCAAATAATAGCTTGCTTCACAAAAATACCAGCTAATCAGCTTATCTATTTTTGAAAACATTTGTGTTATCTTTTAGATGCATGCGAGAAATTCAGAAGCAATCTTAAACAGGATGTAAAGTAGAATATAAATGAGAATGTGTCACTGCTACTACAAAATGTTCTTGGCAAAAATTTCAGAAATACAAAACATTTGTGATCAGAATTATTCACTATTTAATTCAGACTCAGTAAAAAAAGATTTGTTGTTCACAAACTACCCTAAACCTGAATCACAAATACGAACCCTACAAATAATAATGAGACGACTAAAAGAAAAATGAAATTCAAATGTTAACAGTCAGAAGAAAAACATGTCAAAAAGTCAAATAAGTAGGCACAGACACTGAGATTTATGAGTATCAGCTAAAAAACACCAGAGCAAATACTCAACATGCAGCAGACACTAACTTTGTGACTGGACGAGACGTGTTCTGGAAAGCAGAAAAATAAGGGATGAAATAAAGAGAAAACAGAGAGCATAGATTATGTACTTGTGAAGAAGTCTATTGACATAGAAATTGAAACTTTTTGCTCATGACTCCCTTCTGAAACAAATCACACAACATGCACACAAGCAGGCAAGAGGAAACCATGCTGACCCTAAACACCAGCTTCACATATTTCCAGCAACAAAATACAAAAGGTATAATCTGCAAACAAGATAGAGGGAAGTGTCCATGATTAAACATGCATAGTATGGAAAATAATCCAATTATTTCATGAATAATGTTTGAAATATGAAGGCTCATACTGATCATTTAGAGAATTTATTTTCTCATAACATATCAAGCACATGACTGCATAAACTGTCACTTTTCTCTCACTCTCTCTGTACTTTTGTGTTAATTTGTGTTTTTCAGACTGTCAGAGAAAGAGAAACTACTAACAATTTTCAAAAGTGCAGAGAAAATACAAAACTCTTACAGCAAAGTGTGGTAATCCTAGAATTTAACGGGAAAGTAAAAATGAAACAAATGATTCTTAATTTTATTCTAGAAATCTAAAATGTGTTTGTTACTGTCCCACCAGAGAAATTAAAAGGATAGTGACAAACCAAACATGCCTAAACTGCAGGTGAGGGTAAATGACATGTGATGGGAGGCGGTCTACATATTTTTGCTGTATTTGAGGTTTCTAACGTGTCAAGGTGAACACTGTAGTTGCATCCATCTCCTCTTAATTATTTTAACAACATGCTCAAAACATCCTTAACAAAAAGGTTGCAGGATGTAGACCCATTTCTCACTCTCCCCCTCAAAATCAGATTATCAAAATTAAAGTTTTATTTATATGTCTAAAGGTTAATATTTTAGTTTGAAACCATTTCGAGGCAAAGTGGAGAAATTCTGTGATACAGTTAGGGAAGAAACTAAGTGGCAGGTTCTAAGAGTCTCAAGGAGAAAGATAAAAAAACAAAAACAGAATACCAATAATGGATTAATCAATCTGATTAGTTAATGAGTCTGCCACTCACCCATTAAAATGTGGTAAGGCTCCTCCCTGACTCTCCAACAGGCCCCGCCTTTGCCCCATGGCCACCTCACACGCATTTTCAGTTGAGTAGAGATTGATCGGTGTATTATACACTGATGGCTGAGGCGCAACCAGGACAGGGGGGGAGGAGGAAAAGGATGCAGAGGATGGGTAAGAGACCAAAGGAGGAAGAGGGGGAGGAGGAGGACCAATGTGGGATGAAGCAGGAGTGAAGGCAGAGGATGGGGAAGGGATGAAGGTGGTGAAAGGTGGCTGTGAAGGAGAGCATACACCCTCAGAGCTGCAACCCCCATAAGGTCGGGGGGCCTTGTTGTAAGGGGCAGAGCACTGAGACTGGGGATGATGTGAAACAGAGGGATGGGTGATGGCTACTGGTTTTATGAGATCTGTTCGGTTGTCCTATCAATACGACAAAAGAACATGCAAATACACACAAAAATGAATTAAATCAAAGCATAAAACAAGGATGCCTCCCATATGTGTTTGTGTCCAATAAAAACAAATGAATGATGTACTTTTTTAAAATAATGGATTAGTTTTTACAGGCTATGTGTTCAGCCTGGGTTCTAGGAAAGCATCAGTGTTTTTTCAAACAGTTCAATGTAAATAAGTGATGACATGCAACAAAAATTATGTACGTCATTGTTTCAGAAGGGTGTGATGCTCTTAAAGACGAGTTCAAGGCACCACATTCAGTAGCTTTTCATAGAATCATTATTCTAATCAGTTTTCACCTAAATAACATCTATGCAAATAGCACAATGTCTTTTTTTCACATGTGTAGCTTTTTAAAGAATTGTCATATTTGGCAATTGTATTTTTGTAGAAAAGGTTTTGACTTATTACATGAAAATAATTTTATATTACCTTTGGTGCCACTGGAGGGGGCTTAGAAACACTGGATCTGTAAAAGAGTGGGAAAAAAAAGAAGAAAAAAGATCAAATTATTATTATTATTGTCCACCACATTATTTTTCATATCAAAATACTCCTTAAAAGGTTTTTCTACTTGGGTAAAATTACATAAACGCTTCCAGAGTATTTACTAATATTGATGGAAACTATGCTGTCAAAGTTTCAGAGATTATAGTGAGGGGTTTTTTTGTTTTTTGGGGTTTTTTAAAAGAAAGGCAGTCACGATGAATTACAACTGAACCTGAGCTGTGAGCATTAAAACCATTGTGAAAAAATTTCTGTCATCGGCTCTGACAGATTCCAAATGGTTCTGGCTGCGTCTGCATGTCAAAGAGTGAAACGTGAGTTGCATGAGTGGGAAAATGTGGCATTGTTCAAAATTTTTTGAAAACAGCTGTTTTCATTCAACAAAGGTCCATAACAGTCTGATACTCTTTGTGATCATACTGTAAATGCCAGGTCATCCATTAAATACGTTTTTAACCTACATTTACTTACAAATCACAAAATGATTTAGCACACTATCCTAACATTTAAATCATATTTCATCTGTTGAAATTAACCTTTGTTGAAACATACTATATTCTATAATATGCTGAAACTAGTTCAGTCAACAGCAGTTAGGACTAGATTCAAATAGCAGTGGTAATGTGTGTACATTTGCAAAATAAATATAGCTTATAAATAACTTTTCACAACTTGCAATAAAGAGGAAAATTTGTTTCCATAAATTCAGAGGCTAAGTAAACCGAACTGTAACTGAAGACACACAAACGTCAGCTGCCTTGCATTTCTTTCAGAGCAACCCCCTCTGGACTCTTTCTCAGGGAGCTCCGTGTCCTTCAGCTCTGTAAATGAACCAACACTCTGACTGTGCGTAAGAAGACATTAGTCCACAGATACAGATACTTGTTTGGCCTTCTCTGTTCGACTCTTGTTTCCTGCTGGTTTGCCAACGATGCACTGATACTATGATCATGTTTCTTAAATGGAGTTTTTAAGGAGGTTCAGTTCTGGGAAAATTGTGTTTGATGCAACTTTTCTTAAAGTCACTATTTGCAGCAAAAGCTATTTTCTTTAACAATGAAGGGCAATTAAAAACTGGAACAATGATTTCAACTGGAATATATAATATATCTATTTTAAGAGACATTTGTTATTGGGATTTACCTTGCAAATATAGTCACATTCTTACATTTTATTTTCTTCATTATAGCCACCAATGTGGCTGCAATTAGGAGGGTAAGTCTTCACCGGCTTTACAAATTTAGAGACTACTGTTGCATGAAGTCTGATTCATCTTTGTTGAAAATGAATCAGACTTAGTCAAATGCGATGCTTTTAGCATCCGTGGACATAAACAGTACATCTATGCAGCATAATGAACAAATGAACAAATGGGCACACAACATTGAAATCCATGTATCCCTTTCTTCCCACTTCACATGTAAGTACTAGTTTACTTAGCTCTATCAAATAAAATTCCAATAAAACACATTGAAGTTTGTAGTTGAGACAAAATTAAGTAAATGGATTTATAATACATTACTTTGACAATGTACTAGTGTATGCCATGAAGGCTCGGCCAAAAGCAGAATAATGCTAAGCTTAAAATACATTGCTGACTGACAGAGCACACCCTATATTTCACATCGCCTCACTAAGACTGCGTCACCTTTACCCCTGCAAGTTTCCATGGACACACGATTCTGTAAATAGTCTACCTAGTACTCAGTTTATCTGTGGACAGCCTTCGCTTGCACAAGTTGTGGGATGAAAATATATCTGGCACATGAGGTATGAAGGGGAAGACTGGGGTATCAAGAAGGAATTATAAATATGACTCTGTCACCCCAGTGAGCTGTTGCCTCAATTACAAAGCATCTATAGCAGGAAAACAGCAGCATGGAAATATGTTGCCGTCATATACCAGAGTGGAAGCTGTATTTAAGTCAGTCTAATGTTATCACAAAGTCTTTTCCTTGCTTTTGAGAATTTGTATCAAATATATATATATATTTAAGTGAAAAACTCAGATTTCCGCAGTGATACTGTCATGACCTTTGGTGTCTTTTTAAGTGTTGAGTTTCATAAATATTTTCTGATTAAAGGCTACACTACACAAAAGCATTAGTATTACTAGTATTATTGTTATAATTGAGTTTGAAATTTTACTGCATCAGAAACTTTACCCAAGAAATCTGTCCTTTGGAAAGCATTGGGATGTTTTTGGATCATACTGATTACTGTTTTCATTTTGGTCTGACCTGCCAGTTTTAATTCTGACAACTTCAGGGTTTTCTCCTCTTTTATGTCTAGAGAAAAAGATATAAGCAACATCTTACTTCAATGCTTTTTGAGATCCCAAATGTTTAAGAACACACATTTAATTTATTAAAATTTTTATCAGATTGTTCATGTTTTTGGTTATATTTTTTGAAGACTCACCAACTTTGCGAGAAAAATATTAAATCTCATGAATTGTCTGAAGACATAAAACAAATAGTCTTTTTCTTTTTTAATCTGTTAATTCTCTTCTTGTTGTTGCTTGGCCTGTGCCTCAATGTACCACCAGCTTTTTAAATGGATGAGGTTAAAAAAGGTTCAGGATGTCCAGACCCTCTGAACAGAGAGCTGCTTCAATGCAAAGGTTGCTGTGAAACAAACATGATGGTTGAATAACAATAATACTAAATTAATATTTTTTAATAATAGGAAATATTTCTTAGGCTTGATTGCAACTTATGTAGAGAGTTGAGCACAAAGCACAAACAACAATTATCAAGGGCAATGTAAATATACATATTGGAGGGATATTTACATTAAAGAAATGCATTTTAAGCTGTAAATGCTGCTGGTATGTTGTGAATTATCTCTCAAGGAGAAATTTACTATATTCCCAAATGACCCAATAAGGTATCCAAATAACTTATAACATGCAAACAAACATTTTTCATGCAAAGTTTTTCCTTTTCTTTAAACTTTTGTTTTTTCTTTTTTTTAGAAAGGTATAAACCGGAAATAGCAGGCTACAATAAATTAAGCCTGTAAAGAATCGTTCATTTGACAGATTCTTTCCTGGGAGTGAATGTACAAAAGCCGGTCAAAGTGCGTTCACACAAAAACACACAGACAGTGAGGTGGTTGCTGGGTGTGGTGACAGTGAATTCAGCCGTGAGAGGTTAGCCAAGGAAATTTGACTGGGTGAGTGCAATAACACAGACTACAAGGAACAGTATATTCCCTCTATGGTATACGGCCTGGAAATGTTTAATGAATGCGAACTCACACAAAGACATGCAGTATGTCTAACCAAGTTCGCTTTCTGCTTTAAAACTGTTTGACCATTCCTTTGTCTTGCTCCTGTTCTGTAATATTCTATCTGGATAATTTTCCAGTTTAGAACTTTTCTTCATTCATATTTTTATCTAGTTCAGATCCAGTATTTTATTTTATTTTTTTCAATTTTCTTGATTTTAAATCTTGAATAACAACCCATAATATAATGTATTATGTATTCGACTGCATGCAATTGAACAATCTTTAGTTATGACTGACATATTTCTAACAATTGGCATATAAAGTTCAATTGGTGAACTTATACTTAGTGTAACTTCTAAATGGAACAAAAAGTCCTTAGCGCACAAAGGCAATTAAATATAAGCAATGGCAATAAACATGTTAAGACGTACTTTCATGTGTCAAATTGGTTTTTAAATTAACCCTCAAGCTCATCAAAAATGGTTTTCAGCTCTCATACTAATGAATTATGGGTACAAGGTTTTGGTTTTTTTCAAGCTCTTAATTTGTCAGAGTACAAGTGGGTTTTTGTGATGTGCACATGTCTTATCTGTCTACCTTCCACTATTATCTTGGCAGAAGCCATTGCAGGCATTTCACAGAGAATGACATCACATGGACGTCTAACAGAATCCCTGACACTGACCAGACAGAGGAAAAAGTCTATGTTTAAACTGCACCCGCTTCCCTCCAATAACATTACTCATTTAAATAGGCGTGAGGAAAAGCAGCGGTTCAGTATTGAACTATCACAGCTCCAATGCTTTGGTTTCTAAATTCAAAGGATCATCAAACCCTTTTCTTTATTATTATTATTTTTATCAGTTGTCAGGGTATAAGACTACATAGAACTCACAAGATGAAAAGATAGAAATGTTTAGTAATATTTTAGGGAAAACCAAAAATCCAGTTTTCTGTTTTCACAAAAACCATGAAGGTTTCCTAAGTAACTGAAGCATGTAAATTTTACAAGATGATAGTAATGTTGCTTTAATAATTTTGCTCCACATTGACATTATAGCATCAAACAGTTGCATCAGATTTGTCTGCTGCACATTATTGTGAGAATCTCCGCAACCGACAGGTGCTCTAATCTACTGATATCTGGTGACTGTACAGCCCATTAGAGAACAGTGAACTCATTGTGCTATTCAAGGAAACCAGCTTGAGATTACATAAACTCGGTGACATCGTGCATTAGCCTGCTAGAAGTTTAAATCAATAACTACCAGACCAAACAACATTTCCCCAATCGTCCACTCTCCAGTTTTGTTGAGATTGTTGTAATTGTGGCTTCAACTTCAGAATCTTAGTTGACTATTGTGGTTCACATTTTGCTTAAAATGGACCAAACCATTTTTGGATTTTCATCATACGTAGTTTAGCATGAGGATATTATGTGAGAAAAATAACTTTTCCTATGAGACATTTGAATACAGCACTGAATTTAAAAATTTGACTCGGATGATTTTGTAATCAAGTTATTCAAATGTCATTGACTTGATTTGATTGATTTTATTTAACACACTCATTGTCCACATGGTACATTATTTGATAGATTACACAGCTATGAAGCCTACATGCCCTGACCTGAGCCGTTGTTCACATGTCTGCGTACGTCTGATAATCTCAGTTGTAGATAAACCACTGACGTTATAACATGGCTTGTAAAATTTATAGGTTAATTAC